ATGCTGGTGAAGTGTAGGGGAAATATGACTCTTCTGTATTGTTGGTGGGGATGTAAACTAGTACAACCACTATGGAAATCAATATAGAGATTCCTCAACAAACTAAAAATGGAAATTCCATTTGACCCAGATAGACCTCTCCTAGGTATGTTCAGAGTTATAGATATCATTCTATAGTGATCCATGCATACTCACGTTTATAGCAGCATAATTCACAATAGCTGAACTCTGGAAACAGCCCAGATGCCAATCAATGATGAATGGATAAGGAAAAGGTGGTGCATGTGGACAATGGAATGTTATTCACCCACAAAGAAGAATAAACTCATGTCATGCGCAAGGAAATGGATGGATCTTGAGACCATAATGTTAAGTAAAATGAGCCAGACAGAGAAAGTTAAATACCTCATAGTTTCTTTTATATGAAAAACCCAAAATATAATGAATTAAAGAGCAAAATGAAGGCAGATTTTTGAGAGAAGGGGATAGAGGAAGAAGACAGAGAAGGAAAGGGAATCAAAAATGATTAAGATAACTTTTTTTTCTCCTTTGAGTCCTGTTTTAGTTACCTTTCTCTCATTTCTGGACAAAATATCTGACACCCAAAGTTAAAGGGAAAAAAGTTTATTTAGCTCACAGTTTGCAGAAGTTTCAGCCCATAATCTGCTGGCTCCAAGGCAGGGTGACGTGGCAAACAGGCCTTACAGAGGAGCGACAGCTCTTAATGGACAGAAAGCAGCAAAGCAAGCAACAGAGGGGTCTTAGCAGCTTCTTTCTACCCCTTTTAGACTCTGTCTAGGCTACTGGGATTAGGGTGATGCCAAACCAATCAGTGGACTGATTTAGTCATCACACACCCATAGTCCCAGCATCACACACTCCAGATTCAGCCACTGCTAAAAAGGCCCCACCTATGACCGCTTGAGGCTTTGGGAGGACATCTAGACCTAAGCCATAACAAGGCCTGAAGAAGAGTTGCTCTGCATGGCCACTCCCAGAGCAGTGGCCGGGGATGCAGTGACCTGTGAATGTTGATAAATGTGGGAATTCTCCAAAATGCCTGGAAACTGAGGAAGGTGAGCCTATCTTTCTCAGGTACAGGTCACTTTCTTAAAAGTGACTCTGCTGACTCTTCTGATGAGCCATCCCCATTCTGTTTCCAGGACAGAGAGTAGCTTATCTCTGTCCTCTCTATAGGGCTGCTGGTGCTCCAGCTGCCTCCCAGATGAACATCACCTCTGCTCTCAGGCCCCCGGGGGCTGGGGCTGGGTCAGCTACTTGTCCTTGACTTTCTCTCATTTCCTCCAGGTGCCCCCCATTTAGAAGTGCCTTCCAGGCTTGGTCTGGTACAAAGACAAGGGCATGAGGCTCTTTGGCTGAGCCTTGCCTCCCTGTTGCAGGCTGGACATGTGACCATGCCTGGGACTGACCAACCAGTGCCTGCAGAGTGCTCACAGTACAAGTTGTCTATGTGCTCATTAAATAGCCAAGGCAAAGCACATTTTTCGCCTAGGAAAGGAATTCTTGAGGCAGATTCCTGGTATGGGGTGTGATTATTTTTAGTACTTTTAGTTTCCCTTTGCTGCATCTGGCCCCTGAGTCCTAAGGCAGAGCTCATGGGTGCCAGGTTACCAGTATTTAGAGCAGGGAACTGCCACCCTGGTGAACCCAACACAGTGCCGACTGAAGGACCAGAGTGGTGCCCAAAGTGTGTTGTCACCAGAGGCCTCTTGCCCTGTCTAGGCCAGAAGAATGATATGTACGTGAGCACTGGCCTTCATGGTGGCACAGCTTTCTTGTCCTCCCCATGTGCAAGTCATGTCTGGCGTGTGAGGTCATCTTCTCCGTGCCGAAGGCCAATGACTGCTCTGGACTGTTCTGGAACTCCAAGTCCCTTTTCACAGCTGGCTTCCTGTGATTGGGGCTCACTATACCCAAAAAGATGGTCAACTCACAGATGCCATTGCCCTCCTGGCATAGGGGTCAGCCTTGCTCCTTTTGGAATCTTCCAGGGAAACAGACAAGATCCAGTCATGTCACTATGAGGGGTCCAAGCCAAGGTCTCCCCACCTCTCAGCCTTCCTCCAACATGTTCTGCTATAGGAGGTTCAACCTGCTCCTGAGTCAGGTGCCAGAAGGGGTGCAGCCAGAGCCCACAGTTTCAAGGTCTGCCTGTGCAGGCTCCTCACCTCTCATCAATCACAAAGAAATAAAGACAGAATTCTAAGTAATGGCTAACATCGTGGTGCTTTCCTGCATTATCCTCTCAAGGATGCTTGGTCTCTTCTGTGAAGTGGGTAGGAATTTTATTCTAGTCATTAAATGAAGCCTTACTCAAAGGAAATAGGGCTGTCAAGTTCCTGGCACCTGGCCCAGGAACTTTAACTGGGATTACTGCAGCTATACCAAGTGCTGGAGTGGCAACAGAACACGGTGGGAGTGTGATAAAGATTAAGGGCCAAAGTGGCCCATATTCTACCAAAGGGGCACTGTGCATCTTTTGCTTTCAGTACGAGGGATTACATGGCTTCATACATTCTAGGAAGTGCTCTATCACTGAACTACATCCCTAGTACTTTTTATTTATTTTGAGACAGGATCCTCACAAACTTGCCTAGGCTGACCAAGATCTTGTGATTTTCCTGCCTCGGCCTCTGAGTAGCTGGCATTGCAAGTATGTGCCACCACACCCCAGATGGCACTGGTTATATTAATGGCACAGCTCATAGGGCAGGGGCAGCACTGAGGGTAAGCATGGAGGGGCTCAGAGAGCAGTTGCTCAGAGCTTCACTTTGCCACTTCTTCCCCCGTATCTTGAGATATGAGAGTCCCAATTTCTCTGGACATCCACTTGGTTATCAATAAAATGGTTTCATTCCTGCTAGATTTATGTCAAGTGTGTAATGTAAATGCTGGATAATATACTCATTGGTGCCCATTGTAACAACATCATTATCACTATTGTTGACACTTTTCCTGCATCAATTTGCAGGTTATAGGAATCCAGAGGACCAAAGTACCTTCCTTCATGCTAAAGCCATATAGCTGCTCCTAGCACATGGTCAAGCATCTCCTCATCACCCCTGTGGAGCACCCTGAAGGGCCAACCTGATCATGATGGCCTGTGCCCTGTGCCTGAGAGGTGAGCACTGCATGGTTGAAATTCTGTCCAGTGTCGTTCTCAATGCAAACAACTGCTGTTGAATACTATCCAAGACAGGAAACCATGTTTGGAATGTGCCAAATGTTGCTGACCTAGGTGCTGGTGGATGATTCCTTAGTGATTCTTCTGAAGTATTCCTGCCTTTGGGCCCCCTTAGTCAATTAGTAATTACATGAATGAGTGTAATTGAATCAATTTTTCAACTCATGGTCAAACTGGATATCCCTCGTCTTGATTTTTGATCCCTTTGTCTTATTTGTTTTTTAATCAAGTTCTGAGCAGCTCTTGGGATGAAGGTCCTGAGATTACTGAACTGATTCATCATTTGTTGTTTGTTTGGAAACTTTTCACCCTGAGAACAAGGACTTCCTTTGCCCAGCATATGACACAGTGCTGACGCAGAACCTCAACAAACACATGGAAGGGTAAGCTTGCCATTTTAAATTTTGATAGATAATACCACAGTTGCTCAATATTTACCAAGTACAGATGACCTACAGCCAGCAATTCTAGAACTCCCTTTTGTAAGATAGGCAGATACTACAAGAAAGCTAGGATGAAGTTTACAGACTTTACTTCAGCAGGCATGAAGGTGCTGCACACAGAGCCAGCCAGTCTTCCCACACCAGCCATGGAGATTGTGTTTCAGATGCTCCAGTAAACATCTTCAGGTTTCATCAAAATTATCAAGAACAAACCCTAAAAGCATTTCTGTTGTGACAAAGTGGAACAGCTCAGTGCCATAGCCAAGTGTTACAGCTCAGTGTCACAGCCAAGTGTTACAGCTCAGTGTCACAGCCCAGTGACACAGCTCTGAGGCACAGCTGAGTGTTACAAGTTAGTGTTACAGTTCTGGTTCTGGTCTATCACAATTTGAAGACTCAAGAAGCCGATGGTCACTCAAAGAGGTGGAGAAAAGCCTTTATTAGGCTGGCAGGCTCAGAGGAGTTCATACTCTGAAGTCTGAGTGTCTCACCAGAAACGAGAGCCTCCTTATATAGGGATCTACAGGGTAGGTGAGCATGCTCACTGAAGCAGAGGGGCAGAGTTACAGAACATTCCTGAAACACATGCCATGTGAGCATGCTCACTGAAGGGTGTGGGGGCCCAGTTACAGAAGGTTCCTGAAAGGCACAGTGGGTGAGCATGCTCGAAGAAGCAAGGGGGTGGACTTACAGAACATTCCTGAAAGGGGCGGGGCTTAACCGAACATTCTTGTAAAGGGGCAGAGCTTAACAGAATATTTCTGAAAGGTCACACATCCAGACTTTAGCAACTTCTGCCCGCTCTGTCTCACTTGCTTCTTCTTACCAGCAACTCCTTCAGCTACCCTTCCAATATCCCCACCCAATCTGAGGTCCACTGCTTCAGTAGGAGCCTTTCCAGCCCCCACGCCCAAAGGGGTCAGGTATTTACAGCCCTTTAGTTTGGTGTCTGGGGAAGTGATGCGTCAGAAGCCCATCAAAGCCCAGCCCTTTTCCTTATCTGCTGCCTGGTTTCAAGCAAGTCACTTGGCCTTATTGTGCCCTGTGCACAGTCAATGAGGGCAGTGCCTACCCAGGCAATGTTGCAGTGAGGCCTGGAAAAGGTGCCATTCTAGAGAAACTGCCTTGGAAAGAACCCAGAATAGAGAGAGGGTAATCAGTGAATGCCACATCTGGACACTTGGGTCCGGGGTCCTGGTCTCAGAATAGGTCTGAACACCTGGGGAGACACCCAGCCAGCCAGGGTTTCCTATGGCCTGACCTTGATTGCAGTTATCCCAGAGTGATAGTCTTTTAAAAGGCATTTTGGCTGTAGCAACCAAAACTTCAAGTGTGCAATTTTTTTTCACAATTTCACTGATAGAAGTTTATTTGGCAGAAACACTCTGATTTGGGCACAAATACATATATGTAAAAGATGAACAAACTATAACAACATAAAGTCAGAAGCAGATACAATGTTGACATTTCAAAGGACTAGCTAAGCCCTGGCTCGTACAATGTAAAAGAATCAGCTGAATCCACAGATGTTGACATTAACGTATCTACAAGACATCATATATCTACCAGACATAACGTATCTACAGTTCCAGTGGTTAGAGATATACAGGTGGAAATGTGTGACAGGAAGTAAGCCAACAGGAAGTGTGGGAAATAATGCCCCAGTTTACTCTTGACTCTTGCAGGAAAAGGAAGGAATCCTGCCATTTGACCTGACCCATTGGGCACAGGGACCAGGTTGGAGAGGGCCTCAGAGTAATTTTCAGTGTTTATCTTCTATATGCATCTCTCCCCTGACTTCAGGAAATAATGGGTTGCATTACTATATTTCTTTTATAACTAGCAGGGAGGGGCAGCATTCCAAGATCCCCCATGCTGCCTACAATGCTGGGAAGCTGAAATTCTGGGCTGAAAATTTCCAGCCCAGAACAAGTGTCCTGTGAAGCTCTGTTGGGGCTTCTCATGGAGTGGATTCTTGTGGCTGGGTCCATCCTCTTTATCCTCTTTTCAAAATATGGACTGAAAGATATTGAAGCTGACCCTCCTCTGGTTCAGATTACATGAATGGATTCTTTGTGCCAGAAGGAGGCTTTAGTCCCCAAGTCAACCTTCCACTTGCCTGCCACAGCCCTGGCCTTTTGTGGAGACTCCAATGTGCCAGGGACTTTTACTGCCACGACCTCAATGAATCCTCACCAGCACAGACTGGCTCACCTGATAGGTGATGATAACACCACCTGTGAGCCTGAATGCATCTGTCTGTTACATGGCAGGGTGTGAGGATGTTGTAGGGATGTGTGGGACTCAACTTGATGCCAGAGTGACCAGCCCTTCTTCAGCATCACCCAGCTTTGATACCCACACATGTTGGTATTGGGACCAGGATGGACGAGGTAAGTCAAGTGTTTCCCAGAGGGTGGTGTCCAGTGGGAAGCCTGTGACCTGTTCCCCTTGGAGTGCTGTCACCTGGTCTAAAGTTAGCTGCATTCCAGATCACTCCTTGGGCAGGGTCCTGTGTTCCTTGCAGACTAAACCCCCACCAAGTACCATGTAGCATCACTGCTGCACTCCTAAAACCCAGGAGCCCTGGACAGACACTGGCCCCTCCCCACATCCCCACCTTTTTCTAATAACTTGTTCAAAACGTGCCCTGCCAGGTATGCTGTGACACCCAAAGAGCGGAAATGCTGCCTGATGCTGGCAGAGGTCCCAGCATCTAATGCAGTAGGCCCCCCATAGATGGTGTTTGCCATGGGGCTCCTGGGCTGGACCTGGGAAATAACTACAAAGGGAATCACATTCTGCTCACAGAATACCCTTGACCTCTCCTATGGCCTTTCCTGACCACAGTTCTCAGGATGTCCAGACACTCAGTGTTCAACAGGTGTGTGAACAAGACAGGTGTGCCCTGCTCTCAACACCTGAAGCCATGAGCCCTCCCTTTCCCCTGCCTGCAGTGCGGTGTGGGCTTGGCCCACTAGTACTGTGTATTAAGTGCTACAGCCAAAGAGCTTGGTAAGTATGTGTTGTAGTCAGGGTTTTGGCAAGGGAATACATTTAATACAGGACACATAATTTATAGAATTATTTTATGATATTTACCCAAAATGTCAAATATAGAGGAGTGCAAGAGATTAGCCACACACTAGAGGCCCAAAGAATCCAACCAAGGGTCTGGATCCCACAGCAATGTCCCACAAAAGTCCAGCTAAAGGCCTAGTGTCCAACGCCATGCCCTCTATGAGCCCAGCCAGTGGCCTAGAGCCCACAGCAATGTTTCATGCTTGTCCTTATTGATGATCTGCACCTAGAAGGCCCAAAGGCCCGTGGTGGAAGCTAGAAAACCTGTGCCAGTGGGAGGAAGGGCTTGTGCCACCAGGCTGAGGGATCTACATTGGATCCAGGAAGTGATGTGCATGGTAAAGATCAGAGCTCCCCTGATGAGAACAGCAGCCATTCCCAGTGTCAGTGAGGCCCTGAGCTCCTCCTCCGATGAGAAAGCCAAGTTCCCATCAGGAAAAACATCTACAGCAAGCTTCTCCTAGAAAATCAACAGCCCGCAATCTCCTCCTCCAGTTCTCTTTTTATGGCTATTGGCAACAATCTTCAGGTGGATCTTCCATGCCCAGACCACACTGATTCAGTTCAACTGGCGTTACAAGTTGCCCATTAGTTAATCTACCACAGTATGTCTGTCCTAACAACCTTCTGCCAACTGAGAAACGATATATACATACACTGACAGTATTATTTCAGTTGTGAGGCTCACAGGATCATCCCTGAGCCAGGCCTAGGCAGTTGACCCCGTGGTTGTGGCCATGGCTAAGGGTGGGCTGGGTCTGTCTCCCACTAGAGGTACTTCAGGTGGAGGACTGTGCAGAAGACAGTCTGGGCTTCTATGTGAATTCCCTTTTGCTGCCCATCCAGTGGAAGAAATGGCTGGCCTGACCACTAAGAAGCACCAGCGTGGTAAATTCATAGCGTGCCTTGCAGGCAGGTGAATCCCACACATTCTCACCCCAGAGCTAGCATATACAGGACAGTGGTGCCAGTGGGTGCAGTTTGTTCATGGTGCCCATGGCACACACTGGCTCATGTGATGGTCACTGCTGGTTATTTGAAGTGCTGGTCTAGATTCTTTTTACCAAAGAATCTACCGGTTGTCAGTGGAAGAGGCACATGTCTCAGCAGAAGGCTGAACTGGGAGCTAATTGTTCCCAGAGTCATAGAAGCCAGAAGGACAGTTTAATCTCAAGACCTCATGTGCCCCATGGGATAACAGGGCTTGCTGAGGCAGTCAGCAATGCCAGTCTTCTGAAGGCTGTGACCCCCCTCGATTGCTTGAGGGAGGGGCCTGGCTGGGGAAGACCCTTGACTTTGTTAGGAAGGTGGCCCCAGGAAGGGGGGGACCCAACATAGCCCCAGGGCTGCAGAAAGTGAGGATTCACTGCATACTTTCCTCCTGAAGAAGGGGCAGGTTGTAAGAAGAGAAAGAGGAGGCCAGTGTAGAGAGGAAGGTGGAGAACCATCAGGTCTCACAGAAGATAGGCAGACTCGCTCCAGATGAGAAGTCTTTTGATGTCTCTCCATGAAAACCCATCTGCTTCCCACTACTTGACAGGGGCTCCACCCAGGGAGAACAGAGATGGTGCTGTTCAGGCCTCCAGATCTCTGAGAGAGCCAGCTACATACTCTTCTAGGAGGCAGTAACTCTTTAAAAAAGAATGTATAACTCATGAAGATTGGCAAGCTGACCAAAGCCATTTATCTGGGCCACAGGCCACAGGGGAAAGGAAGCCTCAGCTCCAGCCCTGGAATACCCTTAAAACAAGATGAATGAAGCCTCTTCCTATTCCAGGATCCAGAGTTTGCAGGAGCTGAGATCCTGGGAAAGGTCAGTGCCACCCTAGAGAGATTCCTCAGGGCCTAATCCTGGGGCAACAGGTTCCTGGGTCTACAGATCTTACAGCCAGATTTGCCGGATCATGACTTGCTGCCACCAGTGCTGACCCACGGAATTCTCAGAAGTGCATCTATTACTGCCTGGGCAGTGCCTCCCCCCACACCCCACATGCCAGCCAGGGGGCCCCTCCATGGGGATTCCATTTGCTGAGGGTCTTTGGACCCAACTTATAACAACGCAGTTGAGTTCTGGATATAGAGGCAACAGGCATCAGCCTGAGGTGGTAGTGGCCAGGCCCAGGTTTTCTGAGGTAGTTAGGAGGGCTGATCCTTGCTCCCAAAAGTGGGGGTATGGCATCTGCCTCAGCCCCAGCTCAGTAAGATCTGTGGCCCTGGCCACCTAATTGCACCAGCACCTAGAAGCCAGCAGATGGCCGACTGTGAGGCCAGGGATCCCACAGCAGTACCCTGGACAGCAGCACCCTGGACAGCAGCACCCTGGACAGCAGCACCCTGGACAGCAGCAAGGACCTGGTGGATGTGTCCATCTTCTGTCAGGCCCCACTTCTGTGACTGCCTTCCCCTGGAATCTTCCCAGTGATAGCTGGAAAGTGCCACATCTGAGACCACACAGCATGTCCACTGCACAGCAGGACCTACTCCTACTTCTGCAGCACCTTGGCTACCTGCTGAGGTGGGCAGCCCAGAGGCTGAAGACCAGCACACCCCAGCTGACTCGGTGGTTCACCACACTGTTGCAGAGATCTGTGTTGCAGCAGCTGGCCTTGGAGTAAAGCAGGCTCTCCTGGAAGCCAGGGCAAGTGTAAGCACATGATTTTATGAAAATGGTTTCCTGACCTGGGGGACCTGGAAAACATAAGACAGAGAACCATTTACTGAGAACTGTGAAGTCCATCCCTGCCCCTCTCAGCAAGCTCAGACCTGACATTCTGCCTGATCCTTTCCCATTGTTTTCTGACCCCACAGGGACACATTAAAAGGTCAGCAGGGTCAGGGCTCAGCTTGTTACTGGGACCAGGTCTCAGTGTATGACCTGACTAGGATCAGGGCTCAGTGTGGGACCCGGATGAGGACTCAGTGTGTGAGCATGGTCAGGGCTCAGTGTGAAACCAGATTCAGGGCTCAGTGTGCGAACAAACTCAGAGCTTTTATCCACAGCCGACCTTTCTCCCTCTTCCTTTCAGAGAGCCAGTACTAAATGGGAGCCATTTGAATCTGATGTTTCCCATGTGCCGGCGTGTGCAGGACAGGTCACGTGGAATACCACATCCACTCTTCCTCAGGCCTTTAGGAAAGAGGCCCCAGGTGGTTCCCATTTTGGAGAAAGGAGACAGGACAGGGGAACCAACAGCATTTGTCAGAAGCAATGCTGGAAAATCTCAGCACCCAGATTAGAAGTGAGTCTTCCCAGCCCCCTATGACCCTACCCACAGGCCCAGACCTCTGAGTCCCAAGTGCCCAGGTCCAGGTGCCACAGGAAGGGAGACACTTACTGTTCCATGTGGTCAGGCAGTAGTGGGTTTGGGCTCCACAAGACACAGGCTGGAAACAATCCTTTGTAGCAGTGCACTCATGACACTGCAGTGCCTGCCCTGGGGGAACATAGCTGGGATCAGAGACCAAAGCCTCCAGCTGCACAACTGCCCACCAAGCACCACCTGACCAAGCTCTGCACTGCTCCTGTACCCTCCACCCTGCCAGGTAGACAGCTGCTCCCCAGGGAACCCTGGGGCTTGTAAGCAGCTCACTCTCTGGGTCCCAGAGCACTCCAGGTGCAGTGCCCCATGGCGAGGGCAGGAATCAAAGCTATGAGCAGCCAGAGGCCTCACCCCTCCCAGCACCACGGGAGAAGCCCACTGTGGACAGAGGGCAACTCCTGCCCAAGAGTGACACAAGTGCAGCAGATAAGAAGGCAGAGGACCTCTGGCAAGCCCCAGCCTGTACCCTGCCTCTGCTCTGGGCAGCAGGGCCACATCATTCTGGGGCCCGTCCAGATCCTCAGGATGGCTGCCAGCATCTCCAGGGACCCTGGGTCCCCAGGACCCGGATCCCAATGACTCACCTGGCCACACGAGCAGGAGCAGAGGCAGCCACAGCAGGGGAGTCCTCATGGCTGGGCCAGGTG